GGGTTCCGGGTGTTTGAGACGGCTGGGATGTTTGGCAGGTCAGCAGCACAAAGTCCGCGCAAAGCTTGCCAGGTGCAGCGTGAAAGGACTTGAGTTTCTTAATGTTTCTTAGCTGCCCACGATGTTCAGGAGATGCTTCCTGTCGATCAGAGACCGAAGCAAACCTCACCAGCGACACTGCGAATTATGGCGAGTGGGGCTTGACCTGGACTTACCATGACTTCCCGGACATAGCTACCCCAGGATCTGCAGAATCACCGCCAAATCATGGGAAAACACGACATGTATGTCAATCATGTCATCAATCAACACATATCAAATATATCAATTTAACACGTACTTAATTACTAGTTAAATGTTTTCAAAACAATTAAATATGTTTAAAAAGTGCTCTTCGGCCTTCTGTGATGTATCTTGATGCATCATACTGGTTTTGATCTGATTTGTACAGATTGGTGACGTTCATACAGTGTCCTCTCCTCCTCTTTTGCTCCAAGTTTGAGGCCGCGACAAGGAGCTGGATGAGAGCAAACTCATACCCAAAGAACTCATGGCCTGGTGTGCCTACGCGGTCTTGGAAAGAGGTGGTAGCAACGCACAGGTCAGTTTACGCAAGCTGGACGCATCCCCTAGCTCTCGTCAGGACAGGCGGGAAGCCAGTACGGGGACCGCGATGCGCCTCCATCTCTGATTTCTCTGCGTTCTCAGCAGGGCCTAGAATCGCATCTTGAACATTCCAACTTATAGTCCATTCTGAAGCTGCAGCACGTTACGGGACCAGAGCAGCCCTAGAGTGGCTTTAGGAAGCTGAATGGCTGAATGGCAAAACAGGACCGCTCACTCCGCTCACCATCCTGCATCCTGAGAGAATCCAAGGTCATCACGTCGTGGGCTTTCGCTCAACTCTGGACTTGGCCTGGAATGTGTCCGGTCGACTGGTCTCAGGCATGGTTCTAGCCGCTCGCCGACCAAGTTCACAACATTAACGTATACCGTATACCATTCCAACATCGTACTCCACATACCACATACCTGTGGGTCAATGCGCCCCGCAAGATTTGCGCATACCGCATACTACAGCTTTTTTTGTAGACCAGAATCATTCATCGGGCCGGGGTCTAAGACTACCCTGGGAGAACGCGTACTCACAGGAGTGCTCGGATATAACGTGTTAGCATTTACATGGCATACCACAGAAATATGCAAATACAATACCACCTATAATTACAATGTGTCAATGTTTTTCAGCAATTCTGGTCTGGAAACGTCTGGAATATGGTCAGCTTGGAGTATGGGGAGGATTTTGGGAGAATGGTTGTATGATGGTTGTATGATGGTTGTATGATGGTTGTATGATGGTTGTATGATGGTTGTATGATGGTTGTATGTTTGGCTACCTGCCACTGACAGCTGCTTGCCACTAGCTGATCATAAGTTTCAGGTTGCTTCCAATGAGAGCCAGTGATTTGAAAGGCTCCCATCATGCCTGGATGTCGCAGGTTCTCCTGGCAAAAGCATCGACCCAGGGGAAGCAAAGGATCTCGAAAGTACTAATCTGAAAGCTTTTATTTATTGCGTGTCCATTTTGTTCATGGTAAATTGTCAACTTAGGTCGGCTTAGATGAAGAAAGCGTTTGGTAACTGCTGCTGCACCATATTTGCTGTCCAGCCACTTAGCTTCAGCACTTCTGCCTCCAGCGCCACCAATCGTGAGAGAAGCGCCTCAAAGAAATGGCAATGGAAAAAACATGGAAAGACATGGCAAGACTTTGGCAAAGTGACTACTTGGCGAAATACTTGCAGCATCTTGCAGTTCATGTTGCAGTTCCATCAGGCCTCCTCTGCTGAGGGTTTGGGCGATCCTGGAATGCGGAGGAAACATTGAGAAACATTTCGGACTTCTGGGCGCAGCTGGTGGAGGAACTTCTCAATCTTCTCACACCACTGAACATATCTGAACATACTGAAATGACCGCTCATCGCCATCTGAAACTGCTAACTGCTGCACGTGCAATGCTGCAACACCGACGACACCGATGCTCAACCTGTGGCCACATCTGCAGTCTGGGCTTCCACCTGCAGAGAATAAGCAGTTGGTGCAACTTGACGAAACTATGACCCTGGAGCATCCTGGAGCATAGTCACAAGCAGAGACTGTTCTACAATAACGCCCCAGGACGGTCGGAAGCTGTGTCATGGAATGTCATGGATGAGGTCGCATGATATCCATGGAGTCAAGCTATAAAATTCTATAGGCTATAATCTCTAAACCAAAATCTACTCTTGCCAGTAGTCAAAATTCCAGAGGGACAACTGCAGTTGAAGTATTTCAATAGAATGTCCGGCCAGTCCGGCCTTTTGAGCTTTGATTGGCTTTTCTGGCACCTCCAGGATTACGCTTTGTTGCTGTGTTCACCGTGCTCAGTTCTGGATTTTCTTGAGATTAAATAATTATGTTGGACAGCCTAATCAATGATCTACAAACCCCTTCCCCTTCTCACTACACTGACCAATCAGGAGGAAGCCTTGCCATGCGGGGAGAGAAAGATAGACTCATGGGGCGTGGGTCCTTCCATTTTGGCTCCATGGTTGTTTGCATCGCCATCTTTTCATTTGGGCTTTTGTGCCAATCACACTGCAAACCATCTTTTTGTTGCAGCAGCACCACCTGGCATCTTTGGTACACTGAATACAAATTTTCAACCAACCCAGGCAACAATTGTAATGCCCTTTCGCTGCATGTGTTCAGTTTGGAGGGAAACACAACATGATTGTATTATAGAATAGTCCTCATGGCATGATGATATGCGATCATCACATATCAGTAGTTCAATCATAGCGGATATGACCCAAGGTTTACCAACAAAAAAAAAAGTGATCATTCTACGCACCAAAACTTCAGCATTCTGAAGCTGAGGATGGCTAAGGTTCCTCGAATTCGGAAGGGTTTGGACCTCGGTCCAAAGGAAGACAAGAACAAAAACCACACGCACACACGGATATCATGATAAAATGATCAATATACAGTTACTGTAATATATACACAATACCGTGAGCGTAAGTATTGGTGGTACGTATACATCGACTTCATGCATGTAGAAAATGGATGAAAATGGCGGCCGAGGTCCAGTGCCCAATCCCCGGGATGCACCGGGATGCACTGGGATGCAACAGGCATTGCTTGAGCCTTTGGGAAAAGGCAGATCCTGCTGCAAATGTCCCTAAGCTAACAGCTTGATGCTTTGGCGTCTGCGCACCCCACAGCCTCTGTGTATTGTTCTCTTTGGATGACCAAATAATATCAAATAATATCAAATATGGCTGGCATTTGCACTTCAAACATCTTCAAACTAGCATGGGGAGCGCAACCGCTGGAACGGCTGGATTCCTCCAACATCCTCCAACCGCATCAGTAGTATATTGTTTCTTGCTTTCAGGTCCTTCATGGGAAACACAACAAAAATGCTTCATATGCTACAACATCTCACAATGATGAGAATAATGATTCATGATGCATATATGTTCATGACCTTTCATGTTTTTATTGAAACCATTTGATTCATTATCACCATCAAACTCTTGAAGAGCTGCATGACGGACCGGAAGTTTTGAAGAGAGCAGTGATACGTGCTCATTGCAGCAAAGCCGCATGTGCCGAAAAAGTCATCGCCTGTAAGGCAAAAAACATAGATTGTTTTCCCATGTTTTTCTCACGTGTGAACCTCAGGCTCTGCTTTTCCCGGATTAAAATCCGAAATGATATGAATCCATTGTGGATGATTGTGGTATGGTCGAATGCCAGGAAACGGTATCAGTGAAGAAACATAAAGGGACACATAATCTGAAGGACGGTGAAAAACGTGCTTTGCGCAAATGCCTTTCAAGCGTCTTCAGCATCCATGTCTGGTGCCGCTGAAGCTGCCTGCAAAACAAAACTATGCCAAACAGGAATCCAACTCCTACTTAACCTGACCGGCATGCTATGGCATGCTACTATTCTGCAAAGTAGGTGGCATCATTCTAGTCACTGTGAGACTTAGTGGCGCGCGATGACATACCAAACATCAAACAAACATCAAACAACCTACCAACAATCCATGCCAGATGCTGGCCGTCAGGCGATGTCAGGCGAAGTCACCTGCAGCAGCTCTGTCCAGCGGTAGTGGTGTTTCGCCGAGGGGATGGCATCATCTGGCACCTGGCAGCTGGCAGCTGGCAACTCTCCGTTGCATCTCGGTATCCCAGGATCCAATTGCTTGGGAGTCCCCTGGGCTATGCGCACTGAATTTGGACAAAGCCTTCCAATAAAAATATATAAACATATCATGTGTATGACAATATAATCAAGGCCACAATGATCCGCATTCGATACAATCTTTGCCGGCGCAACCATGTCACGAGCAGTCTGACCCTCATCTGAGACAGCCTGCAGACATTCTTCCCAATCCGGACCGAATCTGAAAGAAGAAACGAGGAGATCGCAATTGGACAAACATGAGCAAACTGGTCCAACTCAATGCTTACTGGCATCTTCAACTTGACACTGAAAGAAACGCCCTGTCCCCACTGCAACATACTGCAACTACTGATCCTTTCTGGTGGTGTTCTTTGCATACACCGAGTGGCCGAAACGTCTGCACGATGCCTGAGCAGCGGAGCAGCGGAGCGAGCAAACAGCGTGCAAACGCCACCAAACGCCCAACCATTCCCGGAGCAAATGTATGTAGTCATTGATAGACAAAACGGGGAGCACGGGGATGCCCTTTGAGCTACCTGGGCTTGAACCTTTGATGCTTACGTTCCTACAAATTCTCAGCCTTCTTAGTTACTAAACAAATTAATCATAACAAATTAAATTGCACCATATTGCACCTTACAATTTGATTCGGTGTCACCTTCTGAAGAAATCGTCATCAAATACCAGAAGATTATCAGTTGTTATGAATTCTGAGTGCTTATTTGCACACTTAGTGACTGGATCAGCAGCTCGCAAACCGACAAATTTCCGCTGGAAGCAGCAAAGTGAAGAGGCCGCATTCCGTCCTCTCTCAGTGCAAACCCACAAAGAGTGGGTTCCAAGGCATCTTCTATCATCTTCTGGCAACTGCTGCTCTACTGATGGCTCATCTGCGACACACTCGCAAAGGCATGCTTTCATCAAAGAGTCTCTTGGTCATTGCCCATGTGATCTTTTCCATGTGGTTGCATGTCAGATTATGTCAGGGTGCACTGTTGACTCACCTTGGATAAGCTTCCACATTAGGTTGTATCAAAAAATCCATCCTGGAACTGCTTTACCCATCGCGGCCCGCAATGGTCTGGACGGTCTAGTGTCCTCATCTTCGCAGTTAGCATCTGCCCTTGCCATCAGCAAATGCATGCAACATTTGAAGTAACCACCTTGAGCAGCATACCTTGGTGGATCTGCACTGCACTGGCTCTGTTTGACCAATCTTGGACTGTCAATGCTGATATGAATTCACCCTCGAATGCCCCCAGAATGCTGGCAAGGCATGGCAAGGCACTCCTAGGCATATACCGCTAGTTTTCTGCATCAACATGCACCAACTTCTATGTATCGTTTGTCTATATCAGTATGCAGGATGCATGAATATATGATAATTCTATATGTACGTGCACGTCGGGAGGACAAGCAAACTAAAATCCAGGCACATCAGAGCTGACATTCCATGAACTCGACGAGCGTTGGCCGGAGCAATAACCGAAACATCTTCCTGCTCTCGCTTCATAAAGAAGGGCCGCCTGCAAACGGAGCCATTGCATCTGGCGCATCTTGTGATCCCCAGAGTATACATGAATCAGTCCGGGTGACGGGAGTGTATTAGAGATATTGTAATTTAATATTATATATTTAAATATATTTAATGTGTATATAATTGTGTATATGTGATATACAGCCCACATACAGTACCATATATAACAGTTATATCACAATTGTTTGTAGTCTTGCACTCACATTGGTGGAATTCTTGCTCACCTCGCTCCAAAAAGAGCTTCAGTATGCTTCAGTGTTTTCCACCAGTTCTCATCTCCTCTTAGGGCAAAAACAAAAACATGAAAACATGTATGAACAATTAAATCATATGATAAAATATAAACATAAAAATTATGCCAAACGATGCAAAAACTATGCAGACAACTTCGCCAAATCCTGGCAATGCCGCGCGACCTTCGATCCACTGGCACGCCCAAGTTCAGAAGCTCTTTCAGGTCGTCCTGCTGGTAAGGCAAAGATTGGGCGAAGTACTTCTCGCAATAAAACTATTTAAAAAAATAAGATTTTGGATGCTTTTGGATCTTTAGGTTTTTGCAATATAACACTAATTGTCAGCTCCCAAATCCAAAGATAACCAAAGGCAACACAGGATCTTCGAAAGTCTTCGAAGAGATTGGTTGGAAGGGCACATGGAATCACATGAAACCTCGTGAAATCGCATGAACCCATTTCAAATCAGATGAAACCTTGTAAGATCCTATGAACATCTATGAACTTTGGATAACTATGGCATTGCAAAGCACTGTTTCAATGGGCCGCATTGCACTGTTTCAGTGTCCTCTTTTCCATCTCTTGCAGCCACAAGCATCTTGTGGCAAAGCATCGCCTCTACATCAGCGATTCTCCGGTAGATGGTGGACTCTGATCCAGGCTTTTGTGCCAAGATTAGACTGACTCCTAACGGTCCTAACGGTCCTAACATTGCCCAAATGTTTGCAATAATCTATCAATTTCAATCATCTAATATCATCTAATTACTTTCTAATTATGTTGATTGCATTTCCTGAAAACTGCCAAAATCAAAACGACCAAATTATGTAAAAAAAACATTCACATAATCATCACATAATACGTTTTTGATATGTTGGTTTGGCATGGTTTGGCAGCACAGCCTCGCTGCCATGAAGATCACCATCAGGATGAGAGCCTTCGAATTCCGGCTGTAAAATGAAAAGCTGCAAAGGGAACTGCTGTGACTATGAACTGCTTCGCAATTTCACTCTCATGCATTTTCCAATTTGGCGTGATCCTTTTTGAGAGTTTGGAGATATTAGGCTGGAGTACGCTCGAAACCATCCACACACGAACTTACTCTCTCAACATCTCTCAACTGCATACCTTGAAAGATCTGACAAGGTTCAAATCACGGACTGGATTTGACCGTGGTTTGAGGCTCAGTTGGGCAAACTTCGGGTGCGGATGGGTGCGG